TTAACGACAACGTGAAACGGAACTATGGATGTCATTTGAACCCATTTTTTTATTCCTTTATACCGTCGAGTTTCTGAAAATAATTTTTAAATTAATTTATAGAATATTGATATTTTCTATTGTAAAGAAAATTATGTTTCGATTTGCCGTACAAATTGTTATGTGAAGTTACTAAGTGGAATTTTTAAAGAAACCTCCTACAAAGCAGAAATTTTGCAACTCAGTTTATTTTAGTTACAAGTACATATATAATAATATTTAAAATCTAGCTGGTTGGTAATTCGTTGATTTATATTTAGACTTAAATTAGAAACTTGGTAAGTATCCTGTCGTTAAAGGGTTAATATTAATTTTATAATTGAGCCTCAATTCTGAATAAAAGAATAATAAAATGCCTTTTATAATTCAAAGATTCCACTTAGTTTCGTTAATATACCGTTAATATTTGTAGTTTACAATACAGGCGATATTAAAAAAATAAGTAAAATAAACCCCATTTTTTAAATAATTAAGTTACTATATCTTAGTTATACAGTTATTAAAATAATTAAAACAAAAAGTTAATAACTAATTATTCCAAAAATAAATTAAAATGATGTAATTTCTTAAATTAATATTTTAATATCGTTTTTAATAATGTTTGTTCATTAAAAATCTCTATTTTAAATTAATTTAACATTACTTAAGTTGATTGTAACGTTTAAACAATAGCGTTATACTGAAATATATATTTACAAAAAAAGTTAATAACTTAAAAAATCTTATAACAACACCGCTATTGTAAAAAGAAGTTCCAAATTCGAAAATGAGTTTTGAATTGAGAACATGTATACATACAGAACCGTTAGTCTATAGTTTCTAGTACTTACCTCGATATAATAAGTCGTCTGTTATGCACAGTGCGAGAGTTACGCGACGTCACTGTACGGTGTAACGCGGTGAACTAACGGCGCGGCGGATGCGTCCGTAGGGCGGGCGCATTGTCGACACGCCCAACACGCCATCGCGGAAAAATCCTATCATTTCCACGAAATATATCTACGATATGTGCCTCTTCAAATTCCTGATTAATGATATGTGCCCAAGTCTGTGCATTGCGATGATTTTTAAGGTTTACTTAAATAATAAAACTTATGACTGAATTAATCCAGAGATAATATAATTGAAACTAAAGCTGAAACACTTTTTTTAATCAATCTATAAATTTTATGAAACATATTGGACGTCGTCTGGATATCTGGATATTAAATGGTAGGAACATCGAAATTCTGTCCGTAACATACCACCGCCCGCAGATGAAAAATCCGTGAAGTTTAATCCCATTTCGATTTCAGTCTGTGGATTTCCGCATCCGCATCTTGTTTAAATGTTATATGGGTGACATATATACCTACGATCAAGTAAACGCCCTGCTTGCCTGTCCTCCTATATCCATGAATTAATAATTACATACAGTCTCAAAATATAAGTTTCTGATTGTGGAAATGTGAAATTTTATTATCGAACAAATTCGGAAACAAAACAAGATCGGTAGGAGCCGGAAAAATCAATTCGAGTTCAATACTATCTCAAATTTGTAACTGTATACTCTAAATCTAATAAAATACTATTTACAATTATTCATACATACTTTTTATATACTGCCCCTTATACTCTAGTGCGTGTTTAGTAGTTTGAATATTGTAAAGACATTTTTTTTGTTTGGAAGGTGTCATGAGACACCGTCGGTCACCGTTACCACGTCTTTAGTGTGTCAAGCCCACCAACCCACACTGGAGCAGCATGGTGGGTCTATGCACTTACAATTATCTCCTTTATAGGAGACCTATGGCCATGTAAGGCATTGAACGCTTGAAACAAACAGTCACTTTAAAGCGCTACTTTGTGCTACGCCGTAGATGGCTGAATAGAAGTTACGATAACGACAGAACAATTACTATACAATGAAGTTGTATGTTTATGACAGCACTTTTATTTGTATCAGTCCGATTTCTAATCATAATTAAAGGTAAAAAAATTTCAAATGTAATTAAATTAAAATTATATTGATTTTGAAAAGATAGAGCCAAAACATTAGACCCATACTCGCTCCAACTGAATGATGTAAAAAATAAAATGTTTAACTCACGCAAAAAATAATTAACAGAAGAGTAAATAATGTCTGTAGTTCACACAAGCAGTACACATTTAATTAAAACAGACGGCTTAAAACGCGATGTATGTTAGTTAAACTTATTTGGAAATTACTTTAACTACGGCCCGACGATTGGGATGCCGTGCAACAGCCGTTGTCTGTCTCCCATTTCAAATAAGTTTAACTAATAGATATCGCGTTTTAAACCGTTAAAGTTTTTTATATGAACAGAAAATTAGGCACAAGTGCATCTTTTATGATACAAACTAAAGAGACAAGCATGAGGTTCTCTTGATAGAAGGTGTAACACCCCAGCTATATAAATCTCAAGATTCGCTATCGATCTATTTTCGGCTTTGGATATTTGGATTCCTCAGACTGAAAACGAAACGCAATTCAACTTCACGGATTTTTCATGTGTTACGGTAACTCGCGATCCGGACAGAATTTCTACCATCCACTTAATATCCTTATTTAGATTTTAGTCAGATCTTAGTCACTTTTTTCAGTTTTAGTAGCCATACCATTACCATAGTAGTAAATATAATTATATAATAAGTTCATTTAATCATTAAACTATAAATTTTAAGGTCTGTATTTAATCTTAGAACGGAGCCACATTACTAAGACATATATGTCTATCATCAGGCTGTATTTTAAAAGTCGCGATAATTAGATCGATATTATTCCAATTTACCTGTTTCTCCTGCCGATATAGCAAACATTTATGTATTAAATATTTGAGACACACGCGGTATTTCGCCCTTTTTCGTTCGAAATAAAATAAAACACTTTAACCGTTCTATTTAAATGTGCACTACTCGCGTAAACTACACGCAATATTATAACGATATTTGATAATACATATATACGACAATACAATGCAATAAAATGATGTACATATATATTTATAGTATGATAATAATTGCGAAAAGGTAGGTATTTGGATTATTAAAAAAATACTCAGATGTCTATATTCTTTTTTCAATATTGATATAAAAAGTGTTGATATATTGCATGCAAAGAACGCATTCTTTTTATATTTTTGCGATATCAAAATATGTTTTCCTTTCGCAAGTCCTGCAGTTTGGGCAATTTTATTTAAGTACTAGCTGTGCCAGCGACTTCGTCCCCGTAGAGTTGTTATTTTTGGGCATCAAAATATGTTTTTGCAACTGCGCTGGCGACCGAGTACCGTTGTTCTTGCTAGTCAATTTTTAAAGATAGACATATACTGTCGCGGATTTTTTAGATTATATAAAGAGTTTTATTTCCCGTTCTCAAAATTAAAAAAAAGAAAGAAATTTTCATTCAATATCCCCTATATTTCTTTGCTTCTAAAGATCGCAGCCTAATGTTATATAGCTTAAAGTCTTCCTCGATAAATGGTCCACTCAACACAAAAATAATTTCTCAATTCAAACCAATACTTCCTAAGATTAGCGCGTTCAAATAAACAAACTCTTCAGCTTTATATATTACTATAGGTAGATTATAGAGCTAGCTTAGTGTAGTTTATGTAATTGCGATCTTAGAACATGCACACAGTATAATTACAGTAAATGTTCATATTACATCAATCCGGATCCATCCGGTTAACAATATCTGCTTACTTCATTTAATCAAAGATGGCCTCATCATTGTTACCTGATAATACTGTGCATCAACTATATGAAAGCTTTGACTAAATCCACACTAAGTAGGACATGTCCAAATTCATATCTCGTTTTAGTGTTTTTTTATGAGAACATACATGCTGTTAGATGACCCAGCCAACATTGAAATAAGACGCTCTATCAATCTATTTTTGCGTCGGATATTCGGAAATGAAACGAAATGCGAATAAAAGCCATTGCTTTTCATCTGAGTATTTTCGTGACCCGAACTAATTTTCAATATTCCTATCGCTCCTTTAAAATCTCGATTTCCTAAGTTCAAAAATTTTCAGAAAAATATAAATTGGTTGGAACCACGCTGAAACGTGGGGACCCACGACCTCTATTAGCCATTCTTTTCTTTTCAACTTTTTCTTTTTTCAATATTTTTTTAAATAAAGAATTACACATGTAAAAAAATATATATATTTTTAAGTGTCTGTTTGCATTTTCATTTGACCGTTCCGACTAGGTTATAAGCAGTACGTTGCTACCTCAAGTTACCTCATAGGGGAAACAGGGCTTTAACAGGGTGCGTTAATATATCAGCACTGAGAACGGAAATAAGTCAGCAACTAGATAAGGGTAATAAAAATGAGAAATTATTTTTAATAATATTAGATGAGCAAAGCCCCGTGATTATAGGCAATATTTCGGCGACTCCACCCTTATTACAACGTTTTCCCAACAGGGTAGTAGATAATAGTACCCCACTCACTTTATGAGTAAGCCCGAGGTTTAGGTAACAGTCTAGTATGACCTTTTGACCGCAAAGTTTGGTAAAAAAACGTTTAAGTCTCGTTAAATGTAATAGAATTGATAGTTCAAACTGATGAGCTGGTTCGTGTAAAGGTAGGAAAGTATAGCTATAATCAGCAAGTTATCGATTAACCAGACTAACCAGTTTCTAAATGTACTAAAACATTTTGTACTTAGTCTGGAAATCTAGATATTTAACGGATGGTAGGAAGGAAACGCCGTCCGGATCACGAACCGTTTTACACATGTGAATAAGGAGTTAATTTTATTCGCGGTTCGGTCCAAAGCCTAAATAGGTCGACAGTGCATTTTATATGGATGTTATATGGCTTGGGTCATCTATCATAATAAAATATATAAATATCACTATTTTGGGGCCTAAAACATGGGCCTAACATTATGTTTACAAGATTGGTCCTGGATTCGAATATCCCGAAATTAAATGTTGCAGG